AATGTGTGTATTGTGTGTCAAATTGTAGAGCAGGTAGCTGTTGCTCAGAAACTGATCTCTCTCATTCGATGTCTCCTGTGTTTTCAAAACATGCATACAGGATCCTAGTTCAGTCACACTCCTCAATCGGCTAGGGACGAGCCAAGATTTTCCTTTGTTAACTATGTGGGTGTCGAATGATCTTCATGCAACGGTTTGTGGTAACTACGGCGTGGGAGTTATGCTTAGATCCAGGGCTAAGTGCGCCTTCTGGAATGTATTTCAGTAGGATGTAGTCTCTGCAGTCTTATGTTGATCGAATTAATGGAGCGAATACTGTTTTTTGTGTCAGCACACGTTGTGACGGACGCAGGCTCTGAAGCTGAGAAAGACAGATTCTGCAGTTGTTTTCACGATTGATCTAGTCGGTGAGAAGTGCAGTTTCCTGGTTCACACAGGCAATGTGGATGTCGAGTGAATCCTGATAAGGCTCAACTTGTTGTCCGATTTAAGGTTGACGATCATCACAGATACAATAATGAACGACTTCCTCAATGATGTGCTAATCATCATTGGTTCCTAGACAGCACAAATTTCCAGCACAAACGCTTACATTGTGTGACTTGGAGGCTGCCAACTGCACGATCCTGGATCGGATCGTGTGAAGAGCTCACATAAAAGGTTATCGTTCATTTTGGGTACACCAGTGGAATTCGACCACAGCACTGTGCGATCAACCGGCTCTATTCTCTTTCCTTCTGGAGCATATAAGTAAATGCAAAGCCATTCAATCCACTATTTGCAAAGCGTCTCATTAGCTCAACAATATTGGGCTGACTGAGGAACTTTCAGAACCCAATGAATGCAGTGGTTGTGATGGCGGTTTGGATAACTATTGGAGAAAGATAAGGGTAATCGTGGCTACAAGTTTTGAAACCTCCGATGAACGGAAATCACTTTATGGTCAGACATTCTGGTTGAGTCCTAGAAAAATATGCGCAGCTGCCTCGAAAACCAAATAATGAAGAGCCTGGGGTATGGCAGAGAGCACTGGTAGATCACAAAACCGGAAAAGGAAGAAAGCTTTTGCATCGGGGAACAATCGTAATCTGTTCCAGCTAGTTCTACTTGCGTGGGTGTTAGTAGACCTATCTCCGAAATGTACAGAAACATAGTCTTCGATGATGAGCTTAGCAATATGAAGAACTGTGCAGATATGCCCCGTTAACTCACTTCTGAAAAAAAACGAATAAAGACACGTAGAAATCACATGGAATTCTGCGATCAGCAGCGGAGATCAAGCGTGCAAGTTCGCTATTTCAGCACAACAAACCACCTGATCAGGCAGTTTGGATCCTTCAGTGATGAAGGAGGGTGTGAAGTAAGTTGTGATTAACCAGATGGATCTAAATAAAAATTTCTGGAATGAGGAAACATCGCCTACAGCGAGGTCTCAACGGTGATTCTGTAGCGACCCAGTCACCCATATACTTGACTGTTCAACTCAATCGCTCACTGGATCGCGAGGTTTGCCTATTTTCTCATACGCACAAACAGGTCGCATTAAGCTGACACATCGGACATCGATTGTCTGCACCGCCTAGTCAGCGTAGCAACCACTCATGTGCCGACGCGCCCACACACACGCACTGGGACCTACGTAAAGGCAAACCGAACCCAGT